AAGAACTGTAACTTCTTTGAACTATTTTTCAGATAACTCTCAAAATCTAGCAGGAGATTCAAAATGCAGAAGGCAATCTTCTCTCTTGCAGTCCCTTGCTTGCTTGCTCTTGTTTAGTCACTGCAGATTCTTTGAAGTCAGAAGCATCTCCAGTAAAAGGACTTAAATTTTACCTCTTCATGTTGTGAAGTGTTAAGTTTTTGCTTAATTTGACTCCTGGGTAATTCAAGCTTCAGTAGGGTACCTGCACTTAAATATTGCTTGACATTAACTATTGTAGGAAGAGTGATTGTTATTTTTCCTTTGCAAATTAATTTTGGTAAATTTGGTTGTGGCATTTATAATTCAGCTGGTTAAACTAAGGTTGGAATAGCATAGATTGAGAGAAGTTTTACAAATTCTCAAAGGGAATTAACTTTGGGATTTTAGAAAACCTCATGTTTAAATTGGAGTGATTATTTAAATTAATCTACACTGAATGTTAGTTCTAGATATTTGTGGGTGCTGAATATAGATTAAGGTTTTTTTATATATACTTTTTAATAGAAGTCAAAGAGCATCAAAGCTCCTTGTGTAAACAGAAAGCAGGAAACTACATTTTGTACAGACAAGGTCATTGTTGACTACTTTTTGGGAAAACGGCAGTATAGGCTTGTATTTAAAGAGCTTTTCAGCTGTATTAACTAATTTAGGAGACTATTGTCAGCTAAGTTTTTGCTTTTTCAGTCCTCTTCTGAAATTACTTTATCCTTGGTGGTTGTGTGTACAATTTTAGCTGGAGCTTCTTCTGGGCTTCTTGTAATAGCCTTTTCTTAGAGTAATCTCTGTTTTCTACTGACTGCTTTTTCCTGCATTGATTCTTACGATTATTAGATTTCTCTAAGATTGTGGACGTTTTCCAGAGCTGCATCAGATACTAGAAGGAAATTTCTCCCCACCCCCGGCTTTTGAATTTAGCAGATTTTAATGCTGGGACAGCAGTATCCTAATAAATGTAAATACCACTCTCAACCAACTAATCACATTTGTGAGTCCCAGAAAGTACTTGAAGTCAAGACTACAGTTGCAAGCCTTTTGCTGTGATTTTATGTTAAGCTGGTGAAATGGACTGTTTAGCCGCAGCTTATACCAACAGAAGTAGTTTGTATAGTATAGTTTATTCTAGCCTTTGTTTCTTCTTCTTTCCTTTCCCCACAAGCATAATTAGCTATGGGGGGAAAAGCTAGTTTTGTATTATGTTATAACTCTCTTTAAAAAACAAACAAAACAAACAAACAACAACAAAAAAACACAACCAAACAAAAAACCCCACCAAAAAACTTCTCTGTGAATTACGTTCCTGACTGCAGCCATTCCAGGAGAAGCTGGTGGTTGAAGATGGTTAAGTGTCTTTTCCCAGATAGATGTAGAAATGTCGGTTATCACAGATCTGTTAGGAAATAAGGGCTAAATAGTAGATAAATAGATCAAAACTCATGTCAAGATTACTGCAAATTTTATTTACTCATTGTACTCCTTTGCATTTTAGTGTTTCTCAAACTTTTTTCCCAGAGAGGGGCATGTTACAGGAGATATTTCATTATAGCAAACAGGGCCCTAATAACGTAAATAGAAAGTGAATAAAAGTAAATTGAGTCTTGACATAAGATCCAGCTGTAATGACAAGAGGAGTAGCTAGGTAACTTTTGTTTACTTGGGAAAGCAGTATTATGGAAGCTTTTGTAGCTGTTCTCTGAAACCAGAAAGATTAAAAATTTTAACTAGTCTAGTGTAATTATCTGTAACAATTATTTTACAGTCTGTATAAACAGCCTTTTAAATTACTCCTCAAATGCTTTTTGAGAATCTCTTTGAGTGTCTCTGTAGCTCATATACACTTGAGGGGTTGTACTTCTGTCTCTGAGCAATACCCACAGATGAGACTTTGTCATTGCACGCAGGCTGGAGAACTTCTTGTGCCTACTTTGTCCTTTTTCATGTGTTGCATGAAAAGAAGTATCACTGGTATGCTGCTTTTTTGTTTTGTCATTGGGCAAGGTGATTGATCATTGCTAGCACTGAACCAGCCTTGGTTTACGTTTACTGATCAGTGAGAAATGCTTGTGCTTTTAAGCACTTTCAGTCCATTTGTGTTTCTTTAGTATCACTGGGGGTACATGTGAGGTATCTCCCATCTCCACCGTTGCAGTTTTCTTCTGCTTCCTGTTCTCTGCCCTTATCAGAACAGGCAGCTGCTTATCTGTCATCAGAAGCCTCACCATTTTACAGCGGTCCTTGTACCTGCTGTGGGCCCCTTTTCACTCTTTGAATGGCGAGGCCTCAAGGTGAATGCTCTGTAACTGCGTTTCTTACCTGCTTCTGAGTCCTTTTGATGCTGTCTTTATTACCTGGTGAGGGTGAGTGGCTTTCATTCTCGCTTCCTTTCCTGATAATGAGAATTAAGACAGGAAAATCAGAGCCAAAGCATTTGTGATTTTGCAATCTTTGCCTTTCCCTAAGGAGTCTTGGAGAACTATCTCTCTTGGATCTGCTGGTAAAGAATTTCAGGTGCTCAGTTATTCCAAATGTCAACACCCTTAAAATGAAAAGTAGGTATTAGACTTTGATTGTTTGTGCTGGAGTGAGAGGAATCTTCCTTGACAGCAGAAGGACCTTTGAGAGGTGAGTGTTGGTTAAGTACTGCAGGTTGAGTCGCCTTAAACAGTGAGTCTCAATGCTGTCAATAGTCTGGGCTAGAATGTAGTGTCTCGATGTGGGTTGCATTGCCTTAAGATATTTGCATGCCACTGCATGTACTGTCTCCCATTGGGTGGAGCTTTGAACACCAGTGGGTTTGAAATCCCAAAAAGGGGAATTAATTCTGCAGGGCCCTTTGAAGTTGGTAACAGGGCTGCAGTGGCCAGCCCTTTGGTCCTTCAGCAGTTTGCTTGCTGATGATGTATTTGTGAAACTTCTGTCACCTTTCCTTCAGCTGGACAATATCCAAATTATGATGGCCCATCTTCTCTATTCCTTTCACTTCCCCCTGTGCCAGATGTAAATATAGAGTAACCTCAAATTTATATTCCCAACGTGGTCTGTGAGCTCCCTGTGAACCAGAGAATACTTACATTCAAGAGTACTCACATTTAAGTTTTCTCCAAAGAGCACATTCAGTAAGTACAGGAGTACATGCCCTCCAGATAGGCAGTGTAGGGTATGACTTCCGATTTTATGTCAACAGAGTAAATTGATTTTTCCGAAGTAATGTGTTTCCATGAAGAAGCTGTTACAGTGTTACAGGTTGTATGACAGCCTGCTGTGTTACTACAGTGATCTACAGTTGTCTGGGCTCAATCCTTTGATGCAAAGATTCTGTCTGCACTTGAATCACAAACCATGAAATCTATGTTGAGAACAGTTACTGCTAATGTTTAGCTAATTGCAATGTTCAGAAGATATGAGAATTGCTACAGTGGTGTTGTGAAATCATTTTGCACGGGGGCAGAGTCATCGATGTAGTTTTTACTTGCAGTGAGAGAAGTGTTAGACTGGCATTGACTCTGCCCAGCCAAAGTGCACAGGATTACTGAGATGTCTGGTTTAGTGCTGATCTTAGTGTTGGCTAATGTAAAGCCTGCATAGACCTTCTTTCTCATTTTTTGAAAGGTATTTTGGCTCTTCATACATGCAGGGTGTATTTTGTGGGCTTTTTTAACTGTACCTTTACATTTACCTTCTGTAACATACAGTAGGGCTCCATTGCTGCTTGAAAATAACACTTCTGCTTCTCTAGGCGCATAAATATTACTCTAAAACCTAACTAAAGAATTTTTTTTTTTCTGTAATACAACTTATTTGAGAAATGAGCGTATCTCTTGAATAACATTAATGCGTAAAGGCTACAGTTTAATGTGATAATTAGGAAATTATCCTGGGGCTAGGGAAAGGAGCTTGGAGACTTGTCTTCTGTTGCTTTGTATTGCCCAGCAAGACTTTTTTGAAAGGTCTGTCTTTCTTTACTCTCTTTGTAATTTAGGCAGGTGGCTTTGAGACAGTTACAGGCTGAGTGGGGAACTCAGAATCAAAAAGCTGTGTGTAAACAAATTGAGGAGAGGAATCTTAGGCCGTATATGGGGATAGTATCTCTTTCAGAGTTAATTCTGGTGATGGATACATTAGTTTAGTCTAGATATGAATAACCCTCTCTGTAAAGCTGTATGCTAGTTGGTGTGTCGTCATTAGAAGTAGACCCCGTTCTGTAGAGATGCTGTACCCAAATCCATTCTTGGTTTTGTGCAGCTTCGGTGACTTTCAGAGTCTCTTCCAAATGTTATATAGTCTGATACCTCCAACTAGGAAGTGAAAAATTTCCTTGTATAGTTAGTTCTGTTAAAGATCCATGAGCAAAACTGAAAACAGAGCATTTAATCTGACATTAATCAGCCTTCATGAAGGCAAAGTAAGTTATGATTTTAAAATGGGCCATCTAGCCTTAAAATAATAAACAAAACTTTCCTAGGAAAGGTGAGGAATTAGTGAAACCCAGCCTTAAAACCCTCTAACACTTAGTCTCAGATATGTTGATTGTTTTTGCTAAAAAGATTAAAAGAAAAAAAAGCTTTCATTTGTAACCATTTCCTTTCTGTGCTTCATTCCCCATTCAGGGAACTTAAGATAGCTGACTTTGAAGGCACTAGCAGAAAATACAACAGAGCTTTTCTTGCCATGTAACTTTTTTCCCCTGTTCTGCCCATTTAGTTTAATAGGATATGTATATTTGATACAATTTCTTGGTGGATTTTTTAATTAAAGTACCAACATCTATGTTATTTGGAAATCACGTGTATTTGAGAAAAGACCACTTGAATTTTGATATTTCTACCCTGAGACAAAACTGATAGAATACATTTGTAGCTGTGAATTTCTCATCTCTGTGCTTTGCCTGTCTTGTCTGATAGTCTAGAACACAGAGAGAAAGCAATGACAGCTGTATAGTAAGTTTTTGTTTTATTTTGCAGGTTTGTTTCAATGTGGAAGTGGATTTCACAGCTTAATGCAAATCAAACAAACAAAGGTGAGGAGTTTTGTTTTGGTTTTTGGGTTTGGTGGTTTTTGGTTTTTTGGGGTTTTTTTTTCCAAATTCCTTGGATCCATTAGCATATACTGCTAAACACTCAGAAAAAGTGGCCAGTGAGAATTGTATTGAAACTTGTATCTTGATTACTGTAATTTATGGACGTAGTATTACTTCAATGATACCAAAATAGGATCAAAACCCTAGTATTTAAGATTATGATGATAATTATGCTTTTCATCTGTAAACTATTATAGTCAAAAAGCTATCAAGGCATTCTGCTAGCTGTTGAGAGCCAAAATTATGAGTACTTCAAATTAATTTCATCTTCTGCATATTACCCATCTGGTTTCAAAGTACTGGAAGTGTACTTTGCATTGTCAAAGCACCATGTTAAACTTGCACTTATTCTATTAATAAATAACTGTGTGGGAAATTTGACCAGCTACCAGAATAGCATTTCAAATTTTTAATAATGAAATTCTGTTGGGTTTTTTTTTTCCCTTTCCTGTCCTCAGGAACCCTTTTGGGAGCTATTTGAAAGATAAAGTATATGAAGATTTACTGCTGGTGCTCATGAGCTGTAGAACTTAGGTGTCCATTTGCAATTGCAAAGTGTCCGTCTAGGAAAAATTTTCTGTAACTTTGGCATTTCTCCCCCCCCGCCTTATTTTGAGAAAAAGAATTTACCTAAGCCCAGATTTTGTTTCTCTTCAAGTTACTTGATATTCTACTTCAGGAAGACTTTGAACTATTAAATTAATCTCTTCTCCATTAAATTATGTGAAACATTTAACAAAGAGCAATTTGCTTTAATCTGTTTTAGTTTGATTCTTTCAAGAGTATCTTTAGGTGAGGCCTCACAGCTGGGTAAATTCTCTGCTGTGGAGACAGGGCACGATGGACTTACGTACATAGGCTTCCGTAACAAACAAAAGCTGGCTTCTCAAGTTTCCTGCTTGCTGTTTGACTAATATGTGTTCTTAGAATACAGCTGCTTGCGGTGACTTGATATTTTGAAGAGGTGAGAGGGAGATCCTGTTTGCTCAGATGAGCTTGTTCTTCATTTCTAATCTCCAATTAATATGTAGACTTAATGTAGCTTTAAAAATGCAGCATGTGCATTTTAAAATAGACATGACCTGCTTTGTTTGTATGTTCTGCTCTGCTAAGACTTTAGAGCTACTGCTGTCAACTTTAAAATACTGATTATAGCAGAATGCTTTGTGGGGACTTTAAAATAACTGTTCTGTTCAGTGTTGTTCCTTTGTATAATGTATAACTGATTCAGGACTTAGTTCAGAAGACAATTCATAACTATGAACAATTAGAAGTAAGCTGTACTGCTGTTGTATGCATATACTTATGCATAGAGGAATGTTTACTTGCCTTAGCCTGACTTTGCAGGTTTCTAGAATGTGCTGCTTTGAGAAACGGAATAAATACAACTCTGCAAAAGGAAATACTTTTCTTTATCTGAGAAGGAGTATAAAACAAGAATCATGCCTAGGGAGGGACTTGAATTCACAGTAAGATTTAGATTGTTCCCTGTGCCTTCTAGTGCTTTCAGTACTTAATGCTTACAGTTTATGTTCTGTCTCTTCTTAATTTATGTGTTATCTCATTACTGGTTTAAATACAGAAAATTAGCTGAAAAGTCTGTAATATATAAATAACTGAGTGTGTTCTTTAAGCATGAATTCTTCTGAATGAAACTCCACAAAGACCTTTCATCTTAATGGTGGTTAGCTGTGTATAATAGAAAAAAGCTGGTCTCTGAGGAGAAAGCCTGTTCTCTTGCATACATAAGAAGAGGACAGAAAAATGTGTACAAGAATACATGGAAACAGTGTAATGACGTTTGATCGGTATTGTTAATGCTTGGAGGAGATCTTGAGGTTCTGACAGTTCTGTGAAAATGACAACTGAATAGTCAGTAAATCAATGAAAATATTATGCATTATCAGGGAACAAAACAAAAACTAGAACAAAACAAAAAACAGATCTGGTTATACAAATTTGTGATGTACCATAGGTGCATTGCATTGCAATGTGTATTGCTTCTTGAGTACTAGTCTATTCCTGTGACTGAAAAACGACATAGCAGAGCTGAAGAAGGTTCAGAGAGGGGAAACAAGGATGACTGAAAGACTTCATTTTAAAGAACAACTTGCATTTTCCAACTGCCTCTGTCTTCTGTCTCCACTCAGGAGTGTAGTGACTGCAGCATCTTGTAGACTTTTAGACAATGAACTTAACTCCCACAACTCAGTGCAGACTTGTCCTTTAGTGTAAGCTTATGTCACTTAAAGCAATAGCTGAAAAAAATAATTATTTGCTCAAACATTTTTCTTGTGTATTTCCTAATGACTGATAGAAAACCTACACAGAAAGCACACTTTGAGTAAAGGATTTCAGGTTTTTGTTTTTCTAATTGCGAATCATTCGCTTTCCTAAGGCAAATATAAAAGGTATGATAGCCTGACTTTTGGAAATAAAAATCTGTTGCCAGTTAAAAACACACAGGTGTAAAATACTATTTACAAACAGTGAATGTACTTTATTGGGGTAAGCATAGTCTTTGTTCTTAGGTTTTCTGACTTCCAGACTGCATCTTCTGAGCTCCATAGGAGGACCTATCTTGTTTTAAAAATGGGGGAAAGTTAGGAAAAAATAAACTTGGTCTCAATGTGTTAACAGTATAATGGGTCACACTTCTGTGTAACAGGAAAGGGTACAGAAGGTAGATGCTTGTGCTGAATTTCCCTGTAACAGTGTGTAGAGTGAGGTCAGATTTTAAGCATTTAAGATACCAGGCAAAACCAGACTTGCTTCCAGAAACCGTCTTGAATGTATTTAGTATTGCTTTACCTAAAAGTAGAGGATGTAACAAATGAGTAATACCACCACAGATGTTGAAGAAGGATAGGTTATATACAGAATTCTGCACAGGATAAATTTGAGTATGTGGGATTTGTGTTGCTTTGGCTCAGACAGGAGTCTCAAACAATTTTCATCTTGTTCATATTATCCTGGTAACATGAAGTTGAGTTTTCTGCCATTAAATCACTCATGGTGATGACTTTTTTAAAAAAAAAAAACAAAATCAACCAACCAAAAACCAATTATTAGGGGAGTGACCTTATCTTTTCTTGTCACTTGGAATTATGAATTTTGTCTGTTCTTCTGGTCATTTACACAGTTACATAGCTTTGGGTCTTTTAAAAACTCTTATTTCATATGTTCATCAGTAAGGAAGATAACTTTCTCCAAGTTGGCAGAATTTTTTGTTCTTAATCTAAAAAGGTACAAGATTTTTTTTTGGCCTTACCTGGCACTGTTACTTACAATCTTACTAGCTTTTTAACCCTTGATCACTGAAAGAATATAGAGGATGATGAAAGCCAGTTCGCTGGTAAGGATGAGTGAATATCACTGATGTGATTCGTTACACTAGGGTTGTAAATTAAATGAGTAAAAGCAGAGTGTTCATTTCAGGTATTCTTTTTATAATTGGGAAAGATAGTATGCTTTAGGAGTTAAGCAGTCTCCCTACATTGGCAGGAGAGACAATCTTAAAATTTGTGATACTATTAAAATATGTACAGCAACTAGTTATCAGCCAAAAAAGCAAAAAGCATGAGAAATTGCTAGATGTGTTTCAGGTCATACTGGATAAAAAGAATTACAACTTTTATTTAATATAATAAGTAAGGTCAGAATTTTTCCAAAGTTCAAAGATCTGTCTCAATAGAATTGGGTTAAACTGCTTTTAATGTCGTCTTTGAGAAAGTTGAACTGTAAATCCATTATGTGGCATCATGTTGTTGTCATGCAAGTTCTCCTCATCTATGATCTGTAGGACTGACACTTCAGGGCTAGTTCATGCGGGTAACTAACAGTATAGTTTAATGAACTTGAGAAATATTCCTGTAAAAATAGTCAAATATACCTGACTTCTAAAAATCTTTCCCAGTTTGGTTGTGATCTTTACATACTAACAAAAGTACATTGAATAGCTTATCAAATAACAAGCTGGATGTTTATACCTTAAGAGATCTTCAGCTTCAGTTACTGAATTCACCTTTCTCTGAAATTTGGGATTAACGTGAAAATAAGACTTCTGTAGCCATGTAGTTGTAATCATTGGGGATTTGTATAGAGTTATGGAAAACAGCTAATTATTAGAATCAGTTCGTTGATATGTATTGGATTTGTATTGGAAGAAAGGGTTCTTTACCTGACTGCTCACAAAACGTATCTGAACAAAAAGACCAAATTGTAGAAAAAACATTTGTTTTAAATTGAAAATCAGTTTTAGATTTGGATATGAAAATTATGTAGGTTCTGCTTTGATTGATTAATTTTAAATGTCTTTGTGTTAGTACACCATCACTTATATTTGGCAGCTGGGGGAATGTTTTCAGTTCTGTGTGCTTTACACGTGAGGAATTAGATTAGCATACAGAATTTCACCACCGCTTGGTGGCAGTACCTGGCTTCAAAAGGGCTTGTTTCTGAGCAGATAAAGTGGCTTTGATTCTGTAAAACTGTAGGTTATGGGGGAGTAGATTTGTTTTAAAATTTCTAAAAGTTAGTGATGTGTTTTAGAAATGAAAATACTTTTTACTTAACCTACTGGAAGGATTTGCATTTGTATGTCTCTATGGAAAATCTAGCTATCATGTCTAATATGTAATTTAAGAGTATTTCTTATGTTAATAGTATTCTCCAAAGATGTATTTGATGTTCTGCAGTTGAATTATTTTAGTATTTACTTCTAGCATTTTACTTCAATTCCGTAGTTACTTCAAGTAATCCTAGAACATACAATTTGCTTCATGGTAGTGTTCTTCATAATATTGTCTTTTGCAGTTAAACAGAGGACTGCCAAAGCTGCTTTTTTGCCTTCTAAAATGTTCTCTGCATTTTCACTTTTTTTATTTATTGATATAAATTTTAGGAAAAGATTCCCCAGTAGATTTTTCTGTCAACAAAGC